GATGTGTTGTAAAAAGGTCAGGGTTCAAGTTTGGCTCTGTGACCTTGGACATTTCATTTTATCTTTCTAGGCCTTAGTGTGTTATAAGTGGAGGTAAATATCTTGCATCTGGGGTTCTTGAGGTGGGGATTCAAGGAGAGAAAGTATTTGGGAAGTGCTTTGTTAATGATATTGTACTATATGACAAGCAAGTTGTTATTAATAGAGGCCTGACTATTCCCAATTGTTTCTGCGTGGTCAGTTAGTTCTAGATGAATAAATCGGAGAGGACAGGAAGGAAGGAAATGGCACTGGGCTGGGAGTCGGGTGATCTGGAATCCATCCGGGTGCTGTTCGGCAGTCAGTCGGTGACTTGATGTGACCTTGGCAAAGTCGCATCACCTCATGTGCTTCTGTTACGTCATTGGTAATATGAGGTGGGCGAAAGAAAAGATGATCCAGAGACTTTTTTCCAGTTTATGAAAGCATGTGATTATTAGAGTTTACATTATGAGATTATTATGTATTTAAGGATATCACTGAGTTTAGATTATTAAATCATAAGTCTTACCAATAGTGGGTCCAAATAATATACATATTTTGAATATATAATTTTAAGGAATTATTTTAAAGAAAATGCCAAGACTTCATCTTTTAACCACTGAAAGGAACTAATGGAGTCTCCTATTCACTACATTTTTGTATTATATTTGGAAGGAATGTGTGTATTTAAAGGGAGGCTGAGGATTAACATATGAAATTCTGCATAAAAAACCAATTGTGTCTACAGCACCTGAAGCACATTTTGTTGTGATATATTCTCTAGTTACTTTAAATTCATTTGTTTTCCTTCATTTAACCAAAAAATGAATAATTGCTAAGAATCAGGCGGTATGCTAATCACTGTAGTTAAGAGAATTCCTGTTATAAGACGTGGTTGATCTAGTGTAGAAAACAGCATGGCTTAAAAATTATACAGGAATGCCTCGTGTCATTGTACTTTGCAGATGTTGTATGTGTTGCATATTGAAGCTCTGTGGAAACCCTGAGCTGAGCAAGTCTATTGTCCCGTTTTTCTAACAGCACGTACTCACTTCAGGTCTTTGTGTCACATTTTGGTAATTCTTACAATCTTTAAAGTTATTCTATTATTATAACTTTCATAGTGATCTGTAATATTTGATGTTGTTATTGTAATTGCTTTGGGAGTCCCACAAACCATGCCCACATAAGACAACTTAATCCATAAATATTGTATGTGTTCTGACTGCTGAAGGAAAAGAAACAAATTTAAAGTTACTAGAGAATATATCACACCAAAATCTGTTTTCAGTATTGTAGACATAATTGACTTCTCAAATAGAATTTCACCTGTTAATTCTTGTGTGTGTTCTGACTGACTGTTCCCCCATCTTTCTCCCTCTTCTCAGACCTATTTCCTGAGACACAAACATATTAAAATTAAGCCAATTAATCACCCTACAATGGTCTCTTAAATGTTCAGGTGAACGGAAGAGTCACATGTCTCTCACTTAAAATCAAAAGCTAGTAATGATTAAACTGAGTGAGGAAGGCATATTGAAGGCTGAAATACACTGAAAGCTGGGCCACTTGCCCTAAACAGTTAGCCAAGTGGTGTATGTAAAGGAAAAGTTATTGAAGGAAATTGAAAGTGCTACTCCAGTGAACACAGGAAGGATAAGGAAATGAAACAGTCTTTTTGCTGATGAGAAAGTTGTAGTGATCGGATAGAAGATCAAATCAGTCACAACATTTCCTTAAGCCAAAGTCCAATACAGAGCAAGGCTCTCTCTTTAATCCTGTGAAGGCTGAGAGATGAGGAAGCTGCACAATCAAAGTTAGAAACTAGCAGAGGGTGGTTCATGAGGTTTAAGGAAAGAAGCCATCTCTGTAACATAATGCACAAGGAAAACCTGCAAGTGCTAATGTAGAAGCTACAGCAAATTATCCAAAAATATTTAGCTAAGGTAATCGACAAAGGTGGCTACATTAAACAGCAGATTTTCAATGGAGATTGCATAGTCTTCTACTGAAGAAAATACCAACTACAACTTCCATAGTGAGAAAGAAGTCAATGTCTGGCTTCAAAGCTTCAAAGGACAGGCTCACTTTTTTGGTTAGGGGCTAATGCAGTTGGTGACTTTAAATGGAAGCCAATGCTCATTCACCATTCTAAAAATACTAGGGCCCTTAAGAATTATGTTAAATATACTCTGCCTGTGTTCTATAAATAGAACAAAAAATCCTTGATGAAAGGCCATTTGTTTAAAGGATGGCTTCCTGAATATTTTAAGCCCACAGTTGAGACCTACTGCCCAGAAAAAGAAAGATTTCTTTTAAAATATTACTGCACATTTATAATGCACCTGGTCATCCAAGACTTCTCATGGAGAAATACAAGGAGATTAATGTTGTTTTTATGCCTGCTAACACAAGAGCCATCCTGCAGTCATGGATCAAACAGTTATGATCCATGAATGATCAACAGCCATCCTGTAGCCATGGATCAAATAGCTGTGGATCACAAGAGTAATTACTTACGAAATATATTTCATAAGGCTTAGTTGCTATAGATAGTGATTCCTCTGATGGATCTGGGCAAAGTAAATTTAACATCTTCTGGAAAGGAGTCATCATTTGAGATGATATTAAGAATATTTATGATTCATAAGAGTAGGCGAAAATATCAATATTGACAGTAGTTTGGAAGGAGTTGATTTCAATCCTCATGAATAACTGTGAAGGTTTCAAGACTTTGGCTTATGTCTATAATCCCAGTGCTTTGGGAGGCAAAGACAAGAGGATTGCTTCAGTCCAGGAGTTTGAGACCAGCCTGGGCAATACAGTGAGACCCTGTCTCTACAAAAATTTTTTTAAACATTAGCTGGGCATGGTCATGCAATCCTGTAGGAGGAACTGTCAAACACTTGTCAAACCATCAGATCTCCTGAGAACTCTGTCGGTATCATGAGAACAGCATGGAGGAAAAACTGCCCCCACGATCCAATCACCTTCCACCAGGTTTCTCCCTTGATGTGAAGATTATGGGGATTAAAATTACAGATGAGATTTGGGTGGGGACACAGAACCAAACCATAACACAAGGTTTGAAAGGATTTACTCCAGTTTTGAAAGAAGTTCTACTGTGGGTAAAATACTATCAACATTCTATAAAAAAAGTTTGTGAAAGGGAGACTCAATTGATGTGACAAACTTGAGTGTTGTCTCCTTTTGAGGAATTGCCAAAGCCCTCCGAGTCTTCAGCAACTACCGTCACGATCAATCAGCAGCCATGAACATCAAGGCCAGATTCTTCACCAGCAAAAAGATTACGAATTGCTGAAGGCTCAGATGATTGTCAGCAATTTTTTAGCAATGATGTATTTTCAAATTCAGTTGTGTACATTATTTTTTAGACATAATGCTCTTATACACTTAATAGACTATAGTATCATGTAAATATAACTTTTCTATGTACTAGTATCCAAAAAATTTGTGTCACTTGCTTTATTGCAATATTCACTTTATTGTGGTGGTCTGGAACCCAACTCACTGTATCTGTAAGGTATGCCTGTATAAGGAAGATAAAACACAATTCTAAAATTATAGGATAAGGGATTAATTTTGCTGAAAAGATAGAGGGAATATAAAAACAGCATATTTAAAATGCTTTATAGATTATAAGTACTGTTTTATTTAAATATTAAACAGACTTTGTCAGGTATAGAATGAAATACCATCTTTTGGAAATCAGTTTGAAATCTCCTGCAACTCTCAAAGACTGAGCAATGTAGAGAAAATACTAATAATATATATTGTTATTTAAATAATTAAGGTGGATACCTACATGTAATCTAACTCTTTCAAATTTCTGAAAGTTTTGCCTAAAATGACTTAGACTAGTTTATTTATTTATTTATATTTATTTTAATTTTTATTAATTATTATTATTATTATTATTATTTTTAACAGAGTCTTGCCCTGTTTCCCTTGCCCAGGCTGGAGTGCAGTGGTACAATCTCAGCTCACTGCAACCTCCTCCTCCTGGGTTCAAGTGATCCTGCCACCTCAGCCTCCCGAGTAGGTAGGACCACAGGTGCATGCCACATACCCAGCTAATTTTTGTATTTTTTGTAAAGCTAGGGTTTCCAGGCTGGTCTTAAACTCCTGGACTCAAGCAATCTACCTGCCTCATTCTCCCAAAGTGCTGGGATTACAGGCGTGATCCATTGTGCCTGGACTTGGACTGGCCTTTTTATATTTGAGCATGAATATTACCCTATTAGTCATTCTCTTTTTAAATAAGAAGGCTAGAAGAAAGTTTTCAACTTATATAATGTAGGTATTTAGTTCTATGTATGTTTTCAAGGTGAATTTCTCTAATACTTATAGCGCACTGGTTTGTGATCACAAAGCTAGGAGAAGCCTTAGTTCCATTACCTAATTTTAGCATTATCCACAATAGTCAAGATATGGAAACAACCTAAATGTCCATAGAAAGATAAATGGATGAAGAAACTGTAGTATATATGCAATAAAGTATGATTCAGCCTTTAAGAAAGGAGAGCCTGACATTTGTGACACATAGATGAACTTGGAGAGCATCTTGTTAAGGGAAATAAGCCAGACACAGAAAGGAAAATATTGCATGATCTCACTCATATGTGGAATATTTTTTAAAAAGTCGAATACATAGAAACAAAGAGTAGAATGGTGATTACCAGGTTATTAGAGTTGTGGTGGGAGGTGCTAAGGGAGGGAGAGTAAAAAGTTTCAGTTACGTAGGATGAATAAGTTTGAAGATCTAATGTACAGAATGAGGGCTATTGTTAATAACATTGTATTGTATTATATACTGGGAATTTGCTAACAGCAGATTTTAGGTGCTCTTACAAAAAAGTGCTATCTGAGATGATGGAAATGGTAATTGGCTTGACTGTAGTAATCATTTCACTATTTGTATATCAAAACATCATGTTGTACACTTTAAATATATAATTTTAAAAATCATCTAACTTTACAAATAATGAATATAATATGCCTTTTTTCATAAAATAAAATTTTTTTCATAAAAGATGTGTCTCACTCAATCACAAAATCAGGACTATAATTACGGTTTCTGAGATCAGTTTTCATGCCGCCATACCACAGCCAGAGTAAAGATCGCAGCAAGTAGAACTTCATTTGATATGGGAGGTGCCGAAAATTCTCTTGGTTGCTGTTTTTCTGTCAGCACAATATTTTTACATGAATTCTTTGAAAAATAATTAATGTTGTGTTTCAAGTTACTACTGCTTGTTGATGAAAAGAGTTTCACTCTGTAAAATATTTGACAAGATTTATTCTGAGTCAAATATGAGGACCATAACCCATGGCATAGCCAGAGGAGATACCAAGAACATGTGCCCAGAGTGGTCGGGCTATAGCTTGGTTTTATACGTTTCAGGGAGACATGTCATCAGTCAATACATGTAAGATGTATATTGGTTCCGTCTGGAAAGGCAGGACAACTCGAAGGGGCAGGGCTCCAAGTTATAGGTAGATTCAAAGATTTTCTGATTGACAGTTGGTTGAAACAGTTATTATCTAAACACCATGAATCAATAGAAAGGAGTGTCTGGGTTAAGATAAAGGGTTGGGGAGACCAAGGTTTTATTATGCAAATGAAACCTTCAGGTACCAGGCTTCTGAGATTTTACCAGACTTAAAAAGGTGCCAGACTCCTCGTAGTGAATTATCTCCTGGACCAGGGAAAAGATCGGGAAAGGGAAGAGGATTCGCTACCTATTGTAGATTTCCTTACAAGAGACAGCTTTACAGGGCCATTTCAAAATATGTCAAATAAATATATTTTGGAGTAAAATACTTCAATTTCTTTCACGGCCTGCTACCAGTCATGTTGGAATTTTATTGCTACAAAGAGTCTGTTATGTCAGTCTTAAGATCTCTGTTTGAATGTTAATGCTGGTCACTTGTGCCTGAATTCCAAAGGAAGAATGTATAATGAGGCATGTCCTACCTCCCTTTTCCCATCATGGCCTAAACTAGAGTTCCTGGTTTATTTTGGAATTCTTTTAGCCAAGAGGGGTTCTATAAGTTGCTGGGGGCCTTAGAATTTTATTTTTGGTTTTCATATTGTACAATATTAACATTTCAAGGAAGTTTGACTCTTTTGTGGCCTCAAATGTCTTTAATAATGTATCTGCTCAAACATATTAAGTAGTTACACATAAAACAAGGAGATACAGTGGTCAGAATTATTGCTTCCATCTTTGCCTCATTTTCAGTGACAAATCTTTAAAACTGAAATGTATCTTTTTATTATGATGTGACAGGACTTTATTTGGATTTGTTTTATTGCTAAGTAAAATTCTAATTTTACTTTATTTGAACACATTAAATATAGTGAATCTTAAATTTCAATAACTGTACAAATTAATTTTTTTAAAAAAGCACAATTTTCTGGTTTCATGATGTGATCTTTGTTTATATGTTATATTGTTTGGATATAGTTAAAGCATTGTGTCCATTTTTGGACTGCAGTTTAGAAGAAGCTCATAAAAGTGGAGAGGGTATGTATATAAAATGAGTACTTTAATGGCAGGCTAAGAGAATTGGCGTTGCTTAACCTGAAAAAGAGAGAGCTCAGGAAATGTGCTAATTATCCCCCTCAGGCATCTGAAGTGATTTTATGAAAAGTACTGTAGTTTTTCTTTCCACTTAGAAAGGAGAGATTTGGGACTTATCTTGTGTTAGAGGTGATGGGAGCATCTCAGGGATTCAGCAAGGGTGATTGCAGTTTTTACTTGTTAATATCTCTTAAGAGAAGAATACAATGAAATGATTACAATGAAAAGATTAGGTATGATGAAGTAACTTACTCAAGCATGTGGCATTGTCTCTCAAGCTTTCATCCTAAAGATGATGAACTAGAAGCCCAGAGAGTGCTGGAGAAAGAACTTACATCAAGATCTTGCATCAAGCCTTACATCAGGGCTTTTGCATGTCTCTGCACTACTTCTGAATACTTACTGAGTGATCTAATATTTCATTAGAGTTGACTACACAAAATTAATTGGAATGGGAGGTCAAGCTCAGGATAAATTGAGAAATGCACCTCTTTCCAAGTATTGCAGGTGATGGCTTATTTTGTTAGAGTGGTGACTTTCTGCCAGTGTGGCTAAAGAGAAATAGATGTGTTGATTTTGATTGATTTGCATTTAGAAATTATGGAATATTTGTAATGTGTCCTCAATCATTGTGCTCTTCTTTTATAAACTAGAAAGAAGTATGGAGGCATGGATACCTTGCACCCCACCATGACTGAATAGTTATTACTCGGAATTTTTCACACCTAGCAGTGGTGCTAATGTTTCATCAGGTATAGCTTTTTGAGAGCCATCATTACCACTGACTCATTCCTTTTCTATGACTTGAAATTGTATAGGAAAGGGAAGAGTTGATAAGTTTAAAGAGATTTCCTTGTTGCAGAAAACACTAAGTTATAACAAAATGAAAGAGTTGCAAATGGCATGGATGATGTGTTGCCCAAGCCCTCATCTGAGAGATGTAAAACTTGAAGCCAGGAAAAACACATGGCTGGTATTTGGAGACAGGTGAGGACTAGAAACAAGGGATGAGAAGGACAAACAAAACTGAAAGCTGCAAATGGGTGATAAGGATTTATCGGGAAACACTGATGGCAGGTTTTTAGTGGCTAAGACAAAGTTATCATCCATATCTTTAGACAGAAAGAGGGAAGGCAACTCTTTCATGACACATAACGCTCTTAAAAGCATTAACATAAAGAACTTTTCTGAAAGGGACAAAGAGACTGATCCTGAAAACGGAAGTGAACAACGTGATGAGCACTCTGAAAGGCTGAGGTGTACCTGACAACTAAGGTCTCACTGGTATTTTTCTTTGAAAAATGGAGGTGATTCTCACCTTTTGGGGGAAGATCTGTTGCTACTTGACCATCACTGGCGAGTATCTAACTGTTTCACGTCTCCAGAGAACCAAAGGTAAATTATAAAGCTGATGGGAATATTAAAATTCATCATTTCTTCTCAATGCATGAATTCGGATTAATATTTAACTATTCATTAAATTTTTGTATTTTGTCTTCTTCCTACTGTCAGTAAGGTTCAGTGGAATTGAAGTCTATGTTTACTCACTTTTATGGCTTCTATGCCCTCAGGATGTCTGACACATATTAACACTCAGTAAATATTTTTATTATTGTTGTTGTATATAAAGCCATTGCTATTATTATTTTTAGTATTATATGATATTGGTGTTTAGAAGGGACTTAAAACCTGGTGTAATTCCTGTATTTTGTGATAAAAGACTGAGGCTAGGAAAGGGCCTGTATAAACTTACACAGCTACATGAACAGAACTTGGTTATACTGACTTCATTTATCTCGTAGTCCAGAACAATACATTTTTGAGTAAACAACTTTGTTAGAGAAGGTCATATTTAGTATATAGTTTTGATGAGCATGACATTATCTGAGATTCAATACTTTAATAACCCTCTTATTAATTGATTAGTTAATTCATTAAAATATTGATTTGTTAATTCACCAATATTTCTTGAGACATATTGTGTGCTAAGCACTGCTTTACATAGAGCAGTGAACAAAAGCCAATAGAGTTCTCTGAGTTTATGATTTACCTTCTGTGATGGGAGAGAGACTATGAAATAAATAAAACATTTTATGTCAGATGTTGGAAAGTATCATGAAAAAAAAAAAAAAGATCAGGCAAGGGGACGGGGGATTCTAGGAGACATTAGGGGATTAATTTAGAATTTTACTTAGGTAGGTCATGAAAGACCTCACTGAAGAGGCAACATTTGGACAAGCACTTGAATTAGGCAAGGGAGCAAGCAATGAGCAAGCAATGGCCTGTTTGGGAGAGCAGCATTTCAGATGGAGGGAACAGCAAATGCAAGTCCTCTAAGGAGTAGTGTGTTTGGCATATTTACAAAGCATCAAGGAAGCCGGTGAAGTCAGTGAAAGTGAGAATATTGGAGATGAGCTTTGGGGAGGCCACAGTACATTACCATCTTCTCATGCCCCATGTCTCCTGCCCAGTGGCTTCTGTCACAGTCAAATCTCAGATATGCAAGGCAACACTTCAGGGACTAGTCAGTCCACCTTCTCCCTATTATAGGATGTTTTCTGCCATAACCAGCTCCTTCAGGCAAGTAACATCGGAGCTTTCTGCCAGGTTGAAATAGTAAGTGCCTCCTGAAACTGAACTGGGGATGGGAGTTGACCTTCAGTGAATGCCCTTGTATATCAGACATTTGGGACAGTATCAATAATTTCCCCTAGAGAATGTGCATTTCTCTTCTGATGCGAGAGCCTCAGATTGCTGATGGGAGAGACAGAAATGTAAAGTAGTTTGCAAGAGGTGAACTTCTTTCTATTCTGTTTCCAAAAGCAACGCAAGCCTAATGTATACCTTTGAAGAGTTGTTGTAGACTCAGACTATGTTTCATTTAAGAGAGCTGTGTGTTTTTCTACAAGGTTCCTCAGAGCCCCTCTAGTAACCTTTGGGGAATCATTGCATTGCTAAATCACCACATTAGCCTGCTGCCTTCTGGAAAATGCTGATCCCATTGCTTCTGTCAGCAGGAGAAGTCAACCCTTGGGCTAGAACTAACCACATTGAGAACTAACTGAGAGGTGGGGGAGGGTGGGGAAGCCCTTAAAAAGAAGTTCAGATCTTCAGGGTAGTGTGGGGGTGCAAAAAATCCTAGGAAATGCTGTACTAAATAGAAAGCACCTGTTTTTATTATTGCTAATCACCAAATAGCTTTTTAAAAAAATGCATGACAGTTTATAAAGCTTTTCCCTATCCCTTACCTCATTTCATCTCCTCTTCAATCCAGTGTGGCCTTGTTATATAAAATGATACAAACCAGCACATCTGCATCACCTGAAACTTGTTGGAAATGCCCCCCACAGGCCTACTGAGCTAGAATTCACGTTTAACAAGACTGCTAGCCCCTTAACGTTTAAGAACATTGCTATAAAGCCTACAGAACAATAATTTCTTCTGATTACAGTAAGGAAATAGAGAATCAGCCTGATTGGGTGACTAAGCCAAGGTCACCCATTTAGTAAGTAGTGAAGCCGGGCTTCATACCCAAGCTTTGTGCCTCCTGGTCCAGTAGCCTCTTGACTGCAGTCACTTCCCACTCCACAGTCCCTTCATAGCATGCCTGCAATGTACTAGCTTTTGAAAGAAAAACAACCCTTTTTCTCTGAACCCACCTGCTCTTATTTTCTCCACCAGCTGTTCTGGGCTGCTCCCTCATCTGCTTGCTGATTCTAGAAATGCAAACACGCTGAAAAGCTCTGCAGCGTTGCCCACATGGCGCCCTCAATGAGTGAATCTGATAAGAATTGCTAGCATCAGACACTTCCTCAGGGCTTCTGTGCAAAAACCTTCTGGCCTCACTTAGAGGAAAGGGTACGAATTCAGAACAAGACAACTGAGATAATGCAGCTGGAACATACTGGTGGGTACAGATGGGTTTTTCCACTATTGCTTACTGTTAGGAAAGGATTAAAAAAAAAAAAAGCTGAGCTTAACATCACAGAAAAACACATGTGCAGAGAGCTTCATAGCCCACCATTCAACAGAATCTTGCTCTGTCACCCAGGTTGGAGTGCAGTCGTGAGATCTCAGCTCAATGCATCCTCTGCCTCCCAGATTCAATTGATTCTCCTGCTTCAGCCTCCCGAGTAGCTGGGATTACAGGTGCATGCCACCATGCCCCACTAATTTTTGTATTTTTAGTGAGATGGGGTTTCACCATGTTGGCCAGACTGGTCTTGAACTCCTGACCTTAAGTGATCCACCCTCCGTGGACTCCCAAAGTGCTGGGATTACAGTCATTAACCACCGGTGCCCTTAAGGATACAAAACGCAGAAAGTGAATGCCTCGTCCTCACCAACTAATTGACCCAACAAGTAGGCAAAACTTAGTCTATTGGGTAAACAACCCCTCATCCATAGGAATCATACTTTGAGTGAGGGAAAATTCCAATCGAATTTTAAATATTTAATTCATAGATCCTGAACTAGAATTCCTTAAGTAAAGCTCACTGACCTCCGGTTGAATTCTCACATTTTATTAGTCAGTTTGTTAACTGAAAAAACTGACATAAGACATTTCCTGTGAACCTACTATGTACATGAAGGTCATCAGAGTGGGTGATGGGAAAGGTTCTGGTATGAGTGATATCTTCCCTAAGAGCCAGCAGTTTAACAGAATTCACGTATATGTACATGCCAAATGATAATGGAACACAAAGGGACATTTCTTCCCTTACCTTCCACCTCAAAGAATGAAGTCTCAACCTCAAAGGGACATTTCTCCCTTACTTTCCACCTCAAAGAATGAAGTCTCAACCTAGGAGGTGGCATTTGAATTATTTATGGACAGGAGGTAAGTTTGGGACATTCAGAGTCTGCAGAGTAGAGAAAGTCATGGGCAAGGTGAAAGGAACAATGTGAATAAGACACAATGAAAAATGCTAGGTTTGTATTTGGAATAGCAAATAATGTGTTGAATATGACTTGTAATCTATCAACTCAGAGACAAAAGAAATATGCTTTTTTCTTTTTTTCTTTTTGTATATATTTAAGGTTATAGGCTGTTTTGATATACATAGACATAGTGAAATGATTACTACAGTCAAGCCAATTGGCACATCTATCATCTCACATAGTTATCTTTTTCTGTGTGAAGAACACCTAAAATCTACTCCCTTAGCAAATTTTTTGTGTATGGACACATATTATTCACAATACTCCTTATGCTGCACACTAGATGTCTACTTACCCTATACAACTGCAACTCTTTACCCTTTGACCTTCACCTCCCCATTTCTCCCCACCCTCCAACTTTGGTAACCAGCATTCCTCTCTCCGTTTCTATGTATTTGACTGTTTTTTAGATTCCACGTATAAGAGTGATACAGTGTATGCCTCTCTGTGCCTGGCTTATTTCACTTAGCATAATGTTCTCCAAGTTCATCCATGTTGATGCAAATAGCAGGGTCTCCTTTTTTGAAGGCTGTATACTATTTTACTGTATATATATGTGTGTATATATATACACACACACATATATACACATACATACATATATATACACACACATACATGTATATATACACACACGTATATATATGTATATACACCGCAATTTCTTTTCCATTCATCTGTTGATGAACACATAGATTGTTTCCATTATCCTGGCTAATGTGAATAATGCTGAAGTGAACATGGGAGTGCAGTCATCTTGATAAAGTACTGATTTCTTTTCCTTTGGATATATACCCAGAAGAGGGATTGCTGGGACATGTGGTAGTTGTATTTTAATTTTTTTAGGAACTTCCATACTGTTTGTCATAATAGCTACACCAATTTACATTCCCACTAACAACGTATAACTATTCTCCTTTCTCAGCACCCTTGCCAACATTTGTTACGTCTTGTTCTTTTGATAATAACCATCCTAAAAGGTGTGAGGTGGTATCTCATTGTGGTTTTGATTTGCGTTTCCATGAGTAATGACGTTGAGCACCTTTTCACATACCTGTTTTAGATTATGATGTCCTCCTTGGAGAAGTGTCCATTCAGGTCTCTTGCCTATTTTAAAACTGAGTTATTTGATTTTTGTTATTGAGCTGTGAGTTCCTTATATATTTTGGATATTAACTCCTTATTAGACATATGATTCACAAATATTTTCTCCCAGTCTTTAGTCTGCTTTTTCATTCTGTTTATTGTTTTCTTTGCTGGGCAGAAATTTTTTCATTTAATGTAGTCCCGCTTGTTTATTTTTTCTTTTGTTGCCCATGCTTGATGTCTCAGCCAAGAAACAACAACAAAAATCACTGCAAAGGAAAATATTAATAAGCCTTTCTCACTGTATTCTTCTAGGAGTTTTATGGCTCTGTGTTTAGATCTTTAATTCATGTTGAGTTGGTTATTTTGTAGTGTCTTATAATGTTCTGACTTTATTGTTTTGATGTGGATATATAGATTTCCCAACATCGTTTATTGAAGAGACTCTCCTGCCTTCATTGTATCTTCTTCCCTTTTCGGAAGTTAGTTGACTATATATGCCTGGGTTTATTTCAGGGCTCCCTGTTCAATTCCATTAATCTCTGTGTCAGTTTTCATGGTAGTATCGTATTTTTTTTATCTTGGTACTGTAATTTGAAATCGGGAAGTGTGATGCCTCCAACGTTGTTTTTCTTTTACAGGACTGCTTTGGCTATTCAGGGACTTTTGTTGTTCCATAAAAATTTTAGAATTAATTTTCCAATTTCCATGAAAAGTGAAATTATAAGAGGGATTGTATTGAATCTGTATATTGCTTTGAGTATAATAATTTTAATATTATTAATATTTCAATATATGAACAAGAGGTATATTTTATTTGTATCTTCTATTTGTTTCATCCTATGGTTTTCAGTATACAGATCTTTCACCTCTTTGGTTGAATTTATTTCTAAGCATTGTATTTTTTTTAATGCTATTGTAAATGGGCTTATTTTCTTGATTTCTTTTTGGGACAGGTAATATTTAGTGTAAAGATATACAATTGATTTTTGTATTTTTTTAACCCTGCAACTTTACTAAAACCATTCTAAGAGTTTGTTGTGAAGTCTTTAGGGTTTTCTACATGAAGGATCATGTCACCTGCAAATAGGATAGTTTGTATTTG